TCACATCTTTGAGTATCAGTTTAACTCCTAGTAAAGATTTTTAATGCATACCGAGTGCTGTTAGGCAATATTTTCCTGGGAAATTATATAGTCTTAAACATATTTCCCATTCACCATCTTTAATTAGCCTGACAGCCAGAATTGGCTGTGAACTCCTGTTCTTCCTTACCTTGCAGTTTCAATTTGCCACACAAATATCAACAAGTTTAATCAAGTATAACAATGTATGCACTGCCAATATATCAGTGCTGGCAAACAGGATGAGCCTGCTAGAGAAAACATTTATGTGTAGGTAGGCACCTTGAATAGCTATGATTTCCTGGCAGTTATGCCTTTAAACTAGGATCAATGTAAGGGCTTGTCTACAATACTGGCTGGATCAACGGGCAGCGATCAATCCAGTGGGGGTCGATTTATCGTGTCTAATATAGATGCGATAAATCAACCACCGATCGCTCTAGCAGTACTCCACCTCAATGAGAAGCGCAAGGGGAATCGATGGGAGAGCGTCTCCCGTCAACGCACTGCAGTGAAGACACCGCAGTAAATAGATCTAAGTACGTCGACTTCAGCTACGTTATTCATGTAGCTGAAGTTGCGTAACTTAGATCAATCCCCCTGTAGTGTAGACCAGCCCTAATTTATGAGTGCTTGGGCATTATCTTAAGTTATTCATGTGTGTAGTTTGCCAGAAATCTCCATAGAGAGCTTTGGTTTTTCTTGTTCACAAGTGTTAGTAGGAACAGTAACATTTCCAAATAAATACATTTCCATTGCAGATCAATCCATGACATTCCATTGTGCATGTAGACAGGAAATATAGGTGAAGTTGGTTCTCCTAGCTCAGCCCTACAATACTCTTTCCCACCCTCAGTAACAGTTGCACCCACTGTTACCTGTTAGCACTCCTCCCGTACTTGTTCCCAGCAGGCCAGAGAGCAGCCAAGACAGTATTAATCTGGTTTTGGCTATGCTCAGGAGCCACTCTTTATTTTGGGAAGGTACTCAGAAGCTCATGTCAGCTACACCACAAACTTTCCCACCTGAGGAGTAACATCTGCATTTATAGAAGCTTAATCTAAATAAAAATTTAAACAAAATCATCCCCTGAGGTATCATTTGCTCGAAAATGACACAAAATAGAAAAGAACTTACTATTTCAGCTACAAAACATTATAATTATAAAAATAATTATAATGCATAAAATAATTATGCACATTATATATAAAAGGAGAAAAAAGCAAAGCTCAATACCACCTAAGGTTGGTGGTGCTAACCATAGTCATCTCAGAGCCAGAGTTTATATGGCAGAGGATGCCAGTAAAGCTTGTGGTCACCTTCAACTGTGACCTTTGCATGCAGTTATGTGAGAGTGCATCTCCCCACCTCAAGACAGCAATGATTGGAACAAATCAGTAAAGAAGTCAAAGATACCATAATGTTAACAGGTGTAAATACATTCTGTTTTTACATCTGTAAGATACAACTGTCTATGTAAAGTATATCATATATTATACACACAACATGTGCTCCTACCCAACATTAAAAGAACATTATTAAGGTTGCAAAGTCAAGCACTCAAAAATTTCAAAATGCGAGAATTAAGGTTGTCTGTGCAATCTTAATCCAGTACCTTTATGCCTATGCATTATACTACAGTCTTCATTACATTATCACATACTATATTTTCAATTGGACCCCGGCCTCATTCAGTGCATAGGATAGACAGTGCTTTATCAATGATCAGTCAATAGTTATTTTCACTCCATTGTTCAATGTGTGGCTCTAGGCCTTAATTACTGCACACTATTCAAATCCTGCTCTGAAGGCAGAATTATCATGGGAATTTCTGTGGTGCTCATCACAATAATATCTGAGTGCTTCACAAACAATAATGAATTTATTTTCACACCAGCCCTATGAGATGGAGGTGTATGTGGGGGTGGCATTATCCCCATTTCACAGATGAGGAACTGAGGCACAAAGAGATTAAGGTCAAAATAATCCACTAGTTTGGGTGTCCACTTTGAGATGCCTAGTATGCCTGATTTTTCATACTACTTAGCATTATATAACAATTAATATGTTCAAAGCACAGCTCACACTGACTTCAATTCCAGCTGTGAGTGCTCAGCCTTTCTACAAATAAGACGACGGGGTCTCAAGTTGAGCACCCGTAGAACACAGAATTAGTGACCACCTATAAGAAGTTTGGTTTAAGTGACTTGCCCAGCATTGCATAGAATCTCATTGACAAGGCAGGGATAGAATCCAGTTCCTGAGGGGAGTATTCAATTGCCTTAAAAATGAGACCCTCCTTTTTCTTCCTGTAATTCCCTGCCTCATTCACTATAGACCTTCCAACTTCTGCAACAACAGAAGCAGGGATCATGCATACAATAGCTACCTTTATTACGCTCATGGCTACTCGTAAAATCTGTCTCCCCTTTCCCCCCACCTCTCCCAACTGCCCCAGTGGTTACCAGTCTCCTTCTCTTCCAGACCCTGCCTCCCCCTCTGCTCCTCATATAATCACAGTCTTCTTTCCCTCACCACCTACTGGACCCTGTCTCGTTGTGTTTCTCTCCTGGGCTCCCACTGCCAGTCTCCTTTCCCAGCCAGTCCCACTCTCCCCACCTCAACCTCAACTCCTAGTTCCACTTTCCCTCTTCCCCATTCCAGCCTCCTTGTCCCAATCTGTTCCTGTAACCTGCCCCTCTCAGTCCTTCTCTTCTCCCTCAGCATTCCAATCAGGCAGCTTCATGCTGCCTGGGCCCAGCAGAGGGGGCTTTGAGACCACATGCGAAACCAGCTCCTTGCTCTCAGTTCTGGTGCCTGGTCTGGCCTGCAGCAACCCAGAGCAGGGAAAATCCTGCTCAGGTGTGTTGGTGGTAGCAGCAGGGGCAACTCATATAGAACTCTTTGGTTAGGCAGGGGTGATATTGACAGTGCCCCCACCCACAGAGCTCTCTGCTTGGGAGTGATGTGGTGAGGCAGAACTTCCCTAGTGACCTGTCTGTGAGTGGGTGGGGGTTTCCAAGACATCTTTTCAGTCAGGGACAGCCCCTCTCAGAGCCCTTTGCTGAAGGAGACACAGTGATTCCTCTAGTTGGATGATGAGAAGTGGGCATTTCCCAACAGAGCCTACTGCATGTAAGATAGAGTAACACCTTTCCCAGGACTGTCTGTTGAAAGATGGGTGGTAAAGGTGGCACCCCACAGACTAAGGCCGCCTTTGCTGTGGTGTGGTCAGTGCAGCCCTCCCCACCCAACTGTCCAACTTGAATGAACATCAATCCTCAGTTTGGGGGAAGATTGCTAGAGCCCTCTGAATTGAGTGGTTGGGGGAACAGCCTTCTAGAGCTCTCTGTGTGAGTTGAAGATGTTGAGGGTAGCACTGCTCCCTCCGTCTTCTGTTTGGAGTAGTCATAGAGCCACCTAACTGGGAGTACAGAGGTGTCTCCACGAAGCTTGTTAGTGAGCTGGAGGCCCCCTCTTCCCCTGAAGAGAAATTTTAGAGAAAGTGGTAGTGGGGAACAGAGGCCTCCTCCTTCCTTTGAATATCACTGGATGATGTTAGGCACCATAGTGATGGACTGGGGAGGAATGAGGCCCTGGCCTACCAGAAAATAAGTTGAGTGTTTGTGGTTATGTTCTACCAAACTCACTGAAGTACTGGGAACTACAGAAGCCTGAGCCAGCCTTTTGTGTTTTTGTCATATGACCTGAGAAGTGTGCCAGCTGCCAAGGCCTATCTCTGGTTGCCTGAAGACTAGAAGCTGTGGTGCCAGCTGAGGTGCCCCTTCACCTGGCCTAACCAAAGAGTGTGAGTTGGGATCAGGAGAGGTAGTGTCAGCCCCCAATTTCCTGCCCATCAAGAGTTGTGGTGGTGGCAGCTCCCATCACAAGATTTACCTCCGCCGGGATGTGTCTGTTCCTGGAGATGGGCTGCTATGGTGGGTGTGGTGTGACAGGACTGAGCACTCCCCTCCCTGGCTTTAGTAGGTGCCACTAGTAGCTGCTGCTTCCTCTAAAACCTCTAGATCTTTTTCTGTCTGGAGCAGACTTTCTTGTACAGATAATCTGCTCTGTCAGCCTGTCTGTAATGATGTCACAGTGATGGTATCACACTATCATGTGATACCCTGATTATTTTTAATACTTAATCCTGCTATGGCTACACCATTTACCCCTGAAAGAGAGCAATGGTCTAATGTAGATATGCCCTGTATGTGAGCAATATACATCTGGAAGCATAATGTTTAGGCTGGAATGTGTAAATAGCAGTTTGTTATGAGCTTCTAATACCTGAAGTTAAAAGGATACTCCATGGTTAATCTAATCTAGCTCTGAGATTAATTAATTATAAAAACAACTTGTACAGCTAAATAAAATAATTTTTTGGCCTGTTGGTTTGGTTATTATGCTGAGTTGGATTGAGGAGGGAATCATCATAATGAAACATTCACCCACCCTTTCATCTGTTTATGGAAGCTCCTGAGAATTGAACATAAACATGCCTCCAAAATTATTCTGAATATCATTTGAACAGATCCATAATGCCTATGGCTTCATTCCATAGTCTTTCCTTCCCAACAGGATATGAAACATTCATTCATTGTGAATAGAGCCCTTAGAAATGGCAAAATATTTAAAGACCCCATGTAGCTAAATACTATACAGTAGAACCCAAAACTACAAAAGGAACATAATTTTAAACAGTTCACTACTTGGAAATCAATGAGAAAGATATAAGATGCATATATGTGTGTTTTTTTAATGAAATAACTTTTGATACACATTGAAGTTATTACAGTGTATCCTTTCATTTTTTCTGCCTCACTACAATTTACAAAATGGAATACAAATTATCTGTGTTGTAATAATCAATAAAACCATCACAGTTGAGGGGTTGAAGAGTAAAATGCATCTTGGGAGGAGGAATAGTGTACTAGATTGTTAAAGAAATGAGCTGACTAATGCATATTTTCTCATTACAGATAAAGCTGTGGTATGACAAGGTTGGTCATCAGTTGATAGTCACAATATTGGGAGCAAAGGATCTTCCTTCAAGGGAAGATGGGAGGCCAAGGAATCCTTATGTTAAAATTTACTTTCTTCCAGACAGAAGGTAGGGTCAAGGGAAAAGTAAGGGATATTTTAGTAGAAGTTAAAATAGATATTCAGATGACATGCAGAGTTGAAAAGAGATTGCTAGCTAATACTGGTCATACATGAGATTTTATAGAATAGTCTTAAAGAATGGAATTTAGTGATTGAACATGTTATATAACAGTGTAGAACAGGTTTTACATTTCTTTGAATACTATTTTCTGTTAATCAAATTAACTTCAGTTAGATTATTTTATCAACTATTGGATGGCAAACTAAAGATAAACCTGTCTGCATTGCATGAGGAGCTGTTGTTTGCAAATACTGTTGTTAATATTTTAAGGCCATATTATCTGCTAGGTTATTCTTGTGTACGGGACAGGAAATTCCACAGATATAGATTAACTGAGTTTCTGACTGATAATTTCTTCAAGGCATTCATTGTCCCCCCCATCCCCATCCCCACAGCAAAAGAGGAAGAGGGCTTGGCATCCAAAAACCATGAGTCTCAAATTGTGGTACTGACAAGTTAATGCTGATGAGGACCCGAACCTGTGACATGCTGAGAACCCTCAGCTCTAACTGTAGGCCCTTCTCACTACACAGTATTGATATTAATTTACACCAGTAATTCCCATGGCATTTAGGAGAAGATGATGGTGTGATGGGGCCTTTACCTCCCCTACCCCCTTGTATCTCAGTACTTGATTCTGTTAATGTAGTTGTTTCCATTGGGTCAGAGGGAAGGGGAACAGTTAGAGGAGTCCTTCTAACTGGAACTGCTCATCTGTGTTTCCTCTGCTCTTGTTGGCAGAGGGGAACATTTGGCTTTATTTTGTGGTATGTTGTGAAATGTAGCAGAGGTTTGCTGTAAATTGTGGAATCAGAATATGAAAAACTGATTGATGGAGTGATAGAATAATATGCATCTTTAAAATAAGTATTTTTACTGCATGTGTTTGTTATACTGTACATAAATGTTTCCCAGCCTGGAGATTCTGCCTTCCTATCCATCTCTCCTCAGCCCTGTCTGGGGCAGAGCCAGTTAACCTTAAATATTTAATTAGAAAGAATTGTCTAATCATGAAAGGTGCAAAGTACCTTCAGTTTCCATTGATCTCACTAGGAATTGAGGGTGCTCAACTCCTTGCAAGATTGTCCTTTTCATCTTCACCATATTCAGTATGGTAAAGTAACCTGAAATAGGATAAAATGGTGAAGTTAGCCAAACAAGAATGGTTTATCCATTTTATGTCAACTTGGATACTGTGATATCTTTTATGCCATCATCATATGCATTGCTGTATTTCAAAAGCTTTTTTACAAAAAGGTCCTGGTTAGGCCTCTTTGCCTTAAAAGTTTTTAAACCATTGGCCTAATAAAATATAGTGGTCTAGATCCTCAGCTCATGCAAATTGGCATAGTATCATTGAAGACAATGGAGTAGGCGAAGATCTGCACTAACTGGGGTTCAGATTCATTGTTTTATTATATTTATCTTGTCCACTTTTTTGAAGATCAATATTCCCACCAATAATTTCTGTTTTCATATTGTTAGATAATTAGAGCTTTTATCATGCAATGGGATATGGGCAGAAAGATCCCTATACCTAGGTTGGAAATGGATGGTCAGGTGATGAAAAGAAGAAAAAATCCCCAAATATAATATAAAATAAATAGAAATATATTATTAAAATAAAATAATGTATAGAATACCAATAATGATATATTTTGGAATTTTACTATGATTTGGTAATGTTTTACAAGAAATACTTTGTGTTATTCTTTTTATTTTCTTTTATGTGAGGAGTGTAGAATTTTTCCTTTAATTATTCCTGGTATTTCCTCCTCATATATAAAAGAAACAGCAGTTTGTCTTATTGAACTAGTTTTCTTCTGACAGCCAAACTGCTTTTTCTCTTCTCTGAAGAATAAACCTAGTAGTCTAAAATAAATCTCTTATGCACGGAAAAGTAACCTGCTAGAGGAAAAGAGCAGTTAAACAACTCAAGCATTTAATTAGGTGAGCATGTGAAGCTCTGACTAAACAAATTTCACTGGAAAAACATGTCCAATGTAACTTAGTTCTCTATGACAGGTTTCAGAGTAGCAGCCGTGTTAGTCTGTATCCGCAAAAAGAACAGGAGTACTTGTGGCACCTTAGAGACTAACAAATTTGTTAGTCTCTAAGGTGCCACAAGTACTCCTGTTCTTTTTAGTTCTCTATGGTGAACAAATCTAGTGTTGAAATACGCAATTAAAGTTCTTTATTTTAACAATCTGGATAAAATGCAACTACATGGATAACATGTTGTTCCAACATCTAGCTACCAGGAGTTTACAAATAACGCAATTGTTATTCATATAATTAGTATGTTATATACTTAGAGTATTTGCAAATATGCCAGTATCTTCATTATATTGTTAAAAATATATAAATTAGTACAGCAGTTGAATGATTCAAAAAACCCAGCAAGTTTTAAACTAATGAATTTTGTAAACACACTTCATGAATACAAAACTGTAAATTATAACCAGTCCCAGGTCCTAATCTTTTTTCCATCAGAAACTCCTAATTCTGATGTCCTTCTGGTTTATTGTTAGTCTTTCAAACTACACACAAATTACCACTGTTCTAAGAGATCATGCATTTAACAAAATGCTTAGTACAATGTAGTAGGTTTTTGGAAGTCTTTAATGTTTAAATTGCTCTTTGCAGTGATAAAAACAAAAGAAGAACAAAAACAGTAAAGAAAACATTGGAACCCAAATGGAACCAAACATTCATTTATTCTCCAGTTCATCGGAGAGAATTTCGAGAACGAATGTTGGAGATTACGCTTTGGGACCAAGCACGAGTTCGTGAGGAAGAAAGTGAATTTTTAGGAGAGGTATTTGGAACTGTTTTGACTCTTCATAATCAGTCAGTAGTTTGGGGACTTTGTCAATAGTACATGGATGAGTGATGATTTCTTTGGCTCTTGTGAATAAAATATTTTTATCTGATGTAAAGAAAAAAAGCTGACACTTTTGCACGTATTTGACTGCTTAATAGTAACTCTTCCTAAAAGTTACCAGAAATTTATGATGTAATGTTGGTATCAGATACATTCTTTAGTTGTTCTGTCTTAATAACAGCATGCACATAGTTTCAAAAAGTCATATTCTTTGAGGATTGTTGATAATGGTCCAAATTTGTCCCTGGCGTAACTTTACTGAAGATGTTGAAATATGACTGTTTATTAATTTGTCCCAAGATGTTTAGATGCTGTTCTGATTGTCATTAAGTTGCTAATGTTGCTATTAAAGCTAGAAGTGTTTGTCTTATTCGGTGTCAAAATTTGTTACAAGTACTATATTCGTAAGTGTCTTGATGGCTCATTTTTGAGTGAATGCAAGAACTCTTTTTAATTTCAAATGTGTATGTTAACATTAAAAGAATGAATAGAATAAAATGTATAGAAATACCTATTTTAAAATAGTGTTCCACTGTAGCACCTGTGCTTGTTCCTTTTGTAGATTCTTATTGAGCTAGAGACAGCACTATTAGACGATGAGCCTCACTGGTACAAACTTCAGACACATGATGTTTCCTCATTGCCACTTCCCCATCCCTCGCCATATTTGCCACGCAGACAGCTACATGGTGAAAGCCCTACACGGAGGTTACAAAGTAGGTTATTAATATTACTAATGCTGTGTATATCTCATCTAAATTAGTGTGTACAGTATGTTACATTCTAAGCGAAAGATTTGTAAAAGCAGAAGTTGACATTGTGTGTTTATTTTTCATTGCCATTAATCAGTGCCTTTTGATTGCCAGTGAGCGTCTGAAGTACTCAAAATGCTAATGCCGAATAGTGCATGACAGTGCATTCTTTCTTAAAATATATGGGCCAGATCCTCAGCTGAAGGAAATTAATTTAGTCAATGAAATTATGCCAGTTTTCACCAGCTGAGGACCTTCTAATCTGATTGTACACCCAAAGTGAAAGCACAGTAACTGTCTTCTAAACTTTTTTTTAAAAATGAAGTACAATGCCTTGTATGTAACTTTGCATGTATTGAATTTAATACAATTGTTTGTTACTGCCTTTTGATACTATCACTACAGTAAAAAGAGCATGTTCAACATTTTGTTAAATTCTGACAATTCTGAATTGTCAGACCATTTGCCATGCAAAAGCTTTTGTTTGATTTTGCAAGTAAAAGTGTGCTTCATAACTCTATTTTGTATGGTACAATATTAGAGGTCAATGGTAGGTTGCAGTAAATAGTAGAAGTGTTAACAAAAGAACTTATGCTGAGTTGGTAGAGGAAAATGTAATTGGGTACTTAAGGCAGAAAATAAGTGGTATGACCAAATCTTGTTTAATCGCCTTCTTTCTTTTTACCATTTAAATTACTTTATTGAGTCAGTGTTTCAAAGTTGTGCTTTGTGATTTACCGTTACAAAATTTCTGTAGGCATTGTAAAGTATCCTTTGTAAATCCTACAGATATTTTTGTAAAAAAAATTGTAATTTACAAGATTTATAAGATTTTTTTTGTTCACGCTCTCTCTCTCTCTCCCTCCCTCTATGCACATATATGCATACCTTGAAAAGATATTTATTTTTTAAATTTTGTTTTTGACAGTGGAGCCCAAACAATGTTCAGTATATTATAAACTCCACATGGATTCTCCAGTAATTAAGCTCATAAACATAAGTATTTGTAATAGTTGTCTACTTTGAGGTTGTGCAGCTGATTATGAGAGGGATTGGAATGCTCCATATCATAATATTCTGAAATTGATAAACTACTGCATCAAGTTGCGATGCATAACTTTCTACCAGTGAGATTATCATTATACTTAGTCAGATTTTCTTTTTCTGACTGACAGGTGAGGATCTCCTTTTCAATCCAGTATCCTTCTCAGTAGCTATGTTGTTGTTTTTGACAAATTCTTATGGTTTTTAACTATTTTGTTCCTTCTTCATTTCCTGCAGTTAATTTTTCTGTACATTTAAAAAAAAATTAAATTCAACTTTTCTGGTGTGCTAGAGTAGTTTTCTATTTGGCATTTAGTTAATTTTTTCCCTAGCTTTCAGAAAATATTTAAACCCTGAGTAGCAAGCCCCTTTATTTGTAGCATTTGACATATGTACATTCAAATGTTGGCCATTGTGGATAACCATAACAGCTAATTGCTTTGTTTTGGAGGTGTAACCAGGCCTCCGTGGGTCACAACTGAGAATACAAAATTCAGAACAAACTGCTGAGAAATAGGGCAGAGACACTCCAAAACTGGCTGTTATTCTCCCTTAAGATATACCAAACCAGCAACAAAAGTAAACTTCTGTTTCACCACACTGGTTAACAAGAAGTCAGAACAGCAGTTTCCTTAGACATTCCAGTCCTTGTATCACCACCAAAAACACTAGACTTTAAGATGAATGGTTCTTTACAACCAATTTCATGAAATGAAAGGTTCTTCTTATCCCAAAGGATCAGCCACACACCCAGGTCAATATATAACTCAGATCTTACCTAATAATCACGCTGTTGCCAATCCTTTAGTATCTAAAATCTAAAGGTTTATTTATAAAAAGAAAGAAAGAAAGGTGAGAGTTAAAATTAATTAAAGGAATCACATACATACAATAATTGCAAAATTTTGGTTCAGGCTTGTAGCAGTGATGGAATAAACTGCTGGCTTAAATCAAGTCTCTGTTTGCTTCCAAATCATTGGAAGGACCTCAGTCCCTGGGTTAGAATGCTCCCATTAGTATAAGTCCATAGTCCAGAGTTTTGAGCAGGAAAGAGGCAAAATGAAGATGTTTCCAGGACCTTTTATAGCTTCTGCCATGTTGAGGGAAATCCATTGTTTCTAACAAAGCCTTCAGCACAGCTATTGGAAAATTACAGGTAAAAGGTGGAATTTGGAGTCACACGGGCAACTCACATGTCCATGCATGATTTCGCTTAGTCATAGCAGGAAAGTCCATTAAGTGTAGATAGGTGTCTCCCATGGTCCATTGTGAGTTAAGTGTTCCTTGATGGGCCACTTAGTTTGAATATTTCCTTCAAGATGTGCAGGCTAAATACCTTGTGGGCATTACCCGAGGAGCAAACATTTGAAATCCAGGCATAGAGCCAATATTTATAACTTCAAATACAAAAATGATACATGCATACAAATAGCATAATCATATTCAGCAAATCATAGCCTTTCCATAGACACCTTACTTGACAACCTTTGTAGAAGATTTGTTGCAATTATGTAACAGTGGTAGCAACAATGATCTACATGGTCATATTTTAATCAGATAACGTCACCGGGGAAAGCTCATAATGATACTAGATTCAAGATCTGATCAAATATATTGCCTCATACCTTCAGATCTAAGGAAGATATTCTGTCTTCCTGGCCTCACCTGAACAATCTTGTAAGCCTGTATGAAAGCAAGTATGGAAAGCCTTATCAAAAGTTTCATGGTGTCAAATATATGCTCTGGTTGGAGGCCAGGACTTAGTGCAGAAATCCTTCTCCATTTCAATGTAGCTTTGACTCAAAAGAGAAGTTTAAAGCCAAAGAAGAAGTTAAAAGTGCTCATTATAATTGTTGGAACCTTCATACATTTCTCTATATGACACAAGGCTGTCTAAATTTCAGTAATAATATGTGTGTCCAAATTGAGATGAGAAGCCCACTCAGAAAGATTTCAGAATCATGATCCTTCTCGTAGCCCAAACTTCTCCTCACTTTCCTAGACTGTAGGTACTGCAAGATTTTGAAACCTAGTGTCCCATAAATTATTCTCAATTCAAATGGACATAGTTTTGCAAGCACAGAAATACAGAACAATGACTTTTGGAACTGAAATTCTCCAGATTTGGGACTGGGAAAATGTCCACACTGAAATTTAGTATTCACTAGGAATTCTTATAGGAAAAGGACTATGTGATAACTAAGCAATTCCATTGAGCAGTAGTAAATCTCATGAGTTATCCCTGCATCAGGAATTGCAAAATTATATATTTCTTGAACTGGAGTATGTCTGAATTAAACTTATTTGCCGCAGCTCCGAGTTTAAAATTATCAGCATCAGTTTCTTGCAGAAGAAAGTGGGAGAGCCACAAGAGTGCTTGGGGAACAGACTTGCATATCCCTCTGACTTCACCAAGAAGAGAGTGTTTATATTCTACTAATAGCACCATAATGGTGAAGAAATAAGTGGTTCCTGTTCTTTTTGTTGGAGGTTTCAAGAGAAGATTCAGCTAAACTGAAGGCCTTACCATGTCTTTTGACTTATGAAGGTCTTACTGAATGCTGTGATAAAAAGTCTTCTGTATAATGGAATATGAATGTGGTTCTCAGATTATAAAACTTAATTTTGTGCAAAGAGATACTTGTAAAATCAAGTTTCTTAGACCGAAAATGTTATGTCTGGTGTCAGTTAATTAAACCTATAGGGCAACTGAGTTCCAAACTTTAGTGACTATGATTTTATGAAGAGACAATGATGTTGTGTTAGATATGCAGATACCTTCCAAGCTGGTCTCAGAGTTCCACCACAATCAGTCATCCTGTTTATATTTTTTCTATTTCCTAAGCTCTGTCCTGGTGTACTTCTACATGTGCAGACTTCTAAAAGTCTCCAGTGTTTGTTTTGGAGCAGACAAAATCCCTTAGAAAGTCAGTCCAGCTATTTTCTTTCATTTGGCACTTATTGCTTCAACTGTGTATTGCATAGTGAATCTTGCTTTCAGCTACTGGGGTCACAAAAGCTGTCTTCAGGTCGAGACAAAAGTAGTTCAACCCTCCCACTTTCTATTTGTATTTTGGAATGACACTAAGTATATTATTGTTAGTTTGTAAAATAAGAGCTGCCTTAGTTCATGTATACAAAAGTTGTTGCTGTTAAAAATATCTCATTCCTCGTTTTAAAAATATAGGTATTTTCACTGTATTAGAGGTACTGTATCTCTCTCAAAAAAGAGATTTTGAATTACAAGGATATTTGTTTTTCTTTTCATATGTAGACATATCTGGGCTTTATAGTCTCCAAATTAGTGTAGCTCTACCTTTAAAGGAGATAAAATTATTTAATTTTTGTTCTCTGAAGGTAGTATAAAAGAATCACCTACACTCACCCACTTTCTTTTCTTGCTAGAGTCGGGGATATGGTGTTGTACTTGTAGCACTTTCAATTCTCTTTTTAGCTTCAGTGAATTTTAGTGATCATGAAAACTGCCAGATTGACAGACCTGAAGAATGCATTTCTGTACTTATGCACAGCCAGTGATGTAGAGCAAACTTTCCACAGTACCCCATATGCTGGTTTGCAGTGGCCAACTCTAGCAGAGAGTAGTTCAGTTTCCATACCCATTTATTTCTCGATTGTCTCTGAATAGACAGATTTTGTGATACAGACATGTCCACCAAGAATTAGTCTATCATTGATTTTCACTTATGTCACTGAACCTACAACAGATGGTAACAAGTTTCAGTCATCTCCAGCCTGTGCTGGATTTGAATTGGTGCAGATGAAGGGCTTTGTATCCTTAACCAATCCTCCCACACTATCCAATTCCTGGACTTTCTATTGAGAAGTGCAGTGCATTGTATCTGGGGGTATCTCATATATACACGTAAAGATTACAGCTACTGCAAAACACTCAAATATAC